GACTTTTTTCTCAGAATTCTGATATTAAAGTCAGAAATCTGAGATTAAAGTCAAAATTCTGATATCAAACTGAAATAAAATTTAAAAATCATTTAACTTTTTTTTTTTTTTCCAGTGGCCCTAATCCTCTTCCGTAGGTTACACAGGTCGAGTTGTATATATAAAAAATTTATGAAAAGAAAAAAAAAACGAAACAGAAAGTGCAATGGAAACATTGAGATTTACACCAAATCAAGATTGTTAATCAAAGTAAAGAGTTGTTGAGCAGGGTTACTTTTAACCAAATTCTGAGACTCACAAAAGCATCTTATAAAATTTATAAGATATCATAAACTTGGCTTAACTTAAAAAAAATCTGCATTTATGAAACAAAAAGTTTCCCAGTAAAATTACAAAATTAAATGTTTTGCATTTGAGTTTCGAAAATATACACCAACTTTAATAAGCGTTAAAACAAAGCTGACAGTTCATTTCCTTGAGGGTGGAGCCTTCCAACGCTACTCCAAAAATCTTGTATGATATTAAACAAACATGATCCAAGGCTGGACTCAAACCTTGTAAGTTCAAGCCTATGTCGAGGACTAATGCCTCCATGGGTCGTGTGCACTAACCACTGCGCCACCAAAGCACGCCCCGAGTCAATATCTTTCTTATTATAAATTCATTTATAGCTCTAAATAGGAGATTTGCAATATCCTTGCAAAAAAAAGATAAAAACTGTCTGCCAGACCATCAGTTCCTGATTTGTGATAATCAAATTGATCTACAGTATGTTGACATAAACTTGGCTGCGGCAAGAGGATTATGTGAGCATAAATAAGGCAACTGCCTCTAGTTCTTAAATTTTGACATACCCAGATATTCTGTGTAAGGAGGAGGAGTAGCAACAATCTTTCAGTCTGCAAACTAATAAAACCTCTTTTTTTTTTGTAACCTTGTATTATCCACCAGGTCCTTACTCTGAATTTTTAGATCAGTTTTCAGAGCTCATACCTGATTTATTGTGAAACACTGAAAAGGTCATTATCATGGGGCGTTTTAACATCCATGCTGACATTAAATGAGATAGCTTAAAAGTGGCCAAGCTCCATCTTATATCATAGATCTGATTGTTTCTTATATTCCTAACAGAGAGCTATGCTCTCAATCTGCAGGTTTACTAGTGGTTCCTAGAATTTCCAAAAGTAAAATGGGAGGCAGATCTTTTAGTTATCAGACTCCTCTTCTGTGGTGCCAACTACCAGTTTTAGTCAGTCAGGCAGACACTCTGTCTACTTTTTAGGGTAGGCTTAAAACTATCCTTTTATTTGTCTCAGCTTTATTTGAAAGAAAGCAGATTTTTACCTTAAAACTGAAGAGCAACGATCAGAATTAGTTTTAGACCCAACATCTCCTGTTTCTCTATCAGCTGCTGAACACGGAGAGACTTTTCTCTGCTGCAGATCTAGAATTTAAGATCTTATTTCAACTGAGGCTGAATTCATGCATGAAAAGAATTTTATGCTTACACTGATCATGCATTTTCATTTTGTTGTCACACTTGTGCTTACCAGAGCTGGCCCATTGGTAAATAGAACATTAACCAAACATACTACAAATCCCAGAATGCTCTGCTGCTGAGTTGCTACCACCAGTCACATCAGCAGAAAAAGAGATTCCAGCTATTTGACTTAGACCAGAGTTCCTCAGTATAGATCAGAATGCAGCAAACTGAGCTTTGATAATTGTGTTCTTTATGCTTTGTTCTTACTACTCAAAAGTAGATGATTTAAAAAAGCTGTTATTATTCATATTTGTGACATAATACTTTTTATGTGGTGTATGAAATACATAGGTGAACATATGTCTATTTGATATCTTTGACTGCTAAAGTGGGGAGTTTAAATTTTTAGTTGGGAACATTTATTATTATTTATGTGGAATTACAAGTCAGAAACACACGAAAAAACAAACAAACATACATATAGATGTAATATCAAATGTTTGTATAAACTTTAGTGATGTGATGAAGGACAGCCGAGTGTGGCAGCAACAGAAGGTCCTCCATTAATTTCACGTTTCTTCATCAAAAACACGGCGAACCAGTGAGATGCAAACATGCATTAGGCTATATAATACAGTTACTGAAACAAACTGAACATTTAAATAGACATTTCTAAGCATCATAATGCTACCAGAGACTAAATCCTTTAGTAAATAAACATATCCTTTAGATATGTTTATTACTCTAGTAAAATAATAGCTTCACACTTTTATTTTATGTTTTACATTTCAATGCATGAAATATGAAAGCCTTTTTCAACTCATGTTTGTAAGTCTTTTTGTTATTTGTAGTGAAGGAAAATAAAAAACAAATAAAATTTTTCCATCTGTGACCACCTCCACTGTGTCCAGGGGGTGTCCCAAGCAACCACCTGGACACAGTTCTTACTAGAATGTTCAGAACTAAATGACGCTGTCATCGCACTGCAAGTCCTCTGGTTAAATCAACACAAAACAGGTACCTGAACAGAGTGACACATACTATGGGTTATGAACATCAGTTCAGTTAGTCTAATTGGTTCCAAGTTTTCTGCCTAAGGAAAACTAGCTGATTGCATTGACTCATTTTCTCAGCAGCAATCAAACCCTAACACCGAGCATGCTTGTGGCTACACTGGAAAGGAAAACTCCATTTTAACAGGAAGAAACCTTCAGCAGAACCAGGCTCAGTGTGAGCGACCATCTGCCGAGACCGACTGGGGTTCAAGGAGATGGAACCCCACCTCAGTGGGCCTTGTGGCGCCTGTATACTGCAGGCTCTGTTTTCTTCAAACATTTTTTTTTAACCTTGATCTGCCGTGCTGATTCTGGGCAAAGTCATTGTACTCTCAGGAAGCCTTTCTCGTATTTTAAACGGCACTCTTACTTTTTTTTATGATTTGTCTCGCTTGTTTCATCCTGCAAAACATGATGCAAGGTAGGAACGGAGAAAAAAAAACCCCTTCTACTTAATAGGCGTCAGCCCGCAAAGATGACGTATATTGTAATGGCCTGTAAAACTCGGTTCCTAATTTGTCATGACTCAGAACAGAGGACCCAGTATTCGAGGCATGACAGACAGTGTGATTAGTCAAAAAGTGTTTATCATAAGACTGGGGAATCAGAGTAGCAGCGGCTAGGGTGCCTGAGGCAGGAAACTCTGGGGAGAGGAAAAACAGGTTAGGAAGATTATGAACGTGAAGTACTAAGCTGGTTTACAAGATCAGTCCATAGCCAGAGAACAAGGTAGGATCCAAACAGTGGGCTGCCAACAATCCGCCCAGATAGTCCCAGATGCTGCAGCCGTGGAAAACATTCAGGAGTCCAAAGCCAGGTCAGGCAAACAGATCAGAACAGTAACAGGTCGGCTCAGTGGTTGAGAGGCAGGACAGGATCAGGTAATCAGAAGTACTCAGATGAGCTAAAAACACTCTCACCACTGGCATGCGAGAACAAGACTAATCTGATGAGTGGATGTAATCAGCATAAATAGAGGTAGGAGCAGGTGGATCAGATGAGAGGTAATGAGAACCCTGGGAAGAATTGGAAGGGTGAATGAAATGAGTAATTAAGCCAGTCATCAGTGCCAAGATCACGAAATAATTGGCCAAAAGGTGTCTGAAGTCAGGCTTGTATTTCTTTTTATAAAAAAATATATTACTAAAATGTATGTAACATACCTACCCATTGCTATCAAACAATAACTAAAATGATTGTGTGATTATAATTTTTTTTGTTTTGTTTTTGCAAACTTACTCAATATTTCTTACAAGTTTATGTCTTTATTTCTTTATAACTAAATTGTTTTGCACTAGCATGAGAGCACAAATCACAGGGAACATTTTTGCACATCTTTTTACTCCCTAAATGTAGATTTATTTCAATGTTTTACTATTGATTTTTTAGAATTATTCTCTTTTCCATTCAAATATAATTCAAACATTCATTATTATTTGTGAAAATCTTTGTAGCTTGTTTTTAATTTCATATTTTTAAATTATTTTTCGCTCATTTTCACCCTTGTGTTGATAAATATTTTTGTTGCTGTTGTTTGCTGCTTAATTCCGATATAGGAACTCATTGAGAATTGAGTTATAATGAGTCAGCTGAAGTAGAAAATGAAACCTTTACATTAGTTAACCCTTGAAGGAATGTAATTTTAGTTTGCACCAATTTGGCAACATCACACATTTCAGGTAGATGAACAAAGGTTAGATGGATAGCTTATGCCTTTCTGTCTGAGGGTACTATTTAAGGGTTCTGCTATTTTG